CCGGTCCTGCCCGGTCCTGCCGGGGCCGGGCCCCCGGCTCTGCGTTAAGGCCAGCAGGGCTGTGTCAGGTCGTGTCGTGTCGTCGTCATATCGTCACGTACCGCTGTCGTGTTACAGCGTTGCGTCACGTCACGCCGTCGCGCTTGCACCGCTCTGTGATGGCTTCGTCGCGTCACAGCGTTGGTGCGTCACGTTGTGACCTGTCACCGTCATACCCAGCACCGCAGGTCCTCTGTAAAATGCGTTATGATGCGTGGTTCATGGCAGGCGGTGAAAAACGTGCATAATTGGGAGAAGTCTAAATATCTGAAGAAATTAAGAATCCGTGCCGGTCTCCGTAGAGAGGTTTGATGTTTAAATTTACCGTAAACTTCCTTCCGAGTCACTCGTGCACTGATGGGGCTTCACAACCATTCGGCTTCCTGACATTCACTTGAGAGCTGCTGCTAATTTTGCTGTGAACGGAGAGCTTCGTTAGTTCCCCCTTCTCCTGAGAAGTGAGGATATTTTATTATATACATATGAATATTATTATATTAATATTTTATTAGCTATGGTCAATTGTTGAAGGAGTAAAGGTGCCCCGCATTAATTCATGTTACTTAGCGACCCTCCTTTTTACTGCAAGGAGAATATTGTCTGGAGACCTTAATGGACTAAAACCAGTGATCCTTGACTCGTTCTTCCCATGTTGGTTCTTATTAAAGCCTCTCGACGTTTGGGTGCTTCTTTCCTCAGCTGAGGGAAGACATCTTGAAGGGACATATCCAGCAGATGCCATGTGGGTTTTTTTCTGATTGCTTGAATAACATAAACTAGAAAATATTTACCTACTCTGAAATCAGAGAAGTGGACGCTAATATGCAGAAGTTTAGGGCAAAGCCCATCTAGAAGATCCCCGTGTTAACTGCAGAAAATCAAATTGCGTTAATTCATTAAAACCAAAGCATCAAGTACTGAGTAAAATTTCCTTTCTTCAGGTTAAAACTTGAGGAAGCCAAAGAAGTTCAGAGCCTCAGAAAGCGACCCAATGGGGTGAGGTAAGGGGGGTGGCACCAAGGGTGTGGAGTTGTGTTTTGACCGACAGTGTAATGTCACAGTAAATTTCTCTCTCATCACGCGCCTCCTTTCAGTAGAAACTGTTACTTGTTGGATAGTGCCAAAACCGTGTTCCTGATAGAGGAGTTCTGAGATGAAAGCCCGGGGATGGAAAAGATGGGAGTTTGGTCCAGGCACACGGTGTCAGTGTACAGTGAGCGAAGTCTGTCCTGTGTCCCAGCCGTGAAGAAAAAGATTAAGATTGGGATTTACCTTGAAATGTATTTTCACCAGATTATTTTTGTACTGCAGACATGGTTTAAATGGGACGCTTTCACACCCCCTCTGTCCTAATTCCCCTCTCCTCTCTCCTCTAGTGCCGTTGGTTAGCCGATGAGCTGTCTGAAGTGTGCACCAGCAGTGAGCTGTGTGCCTTGTTTTGGTGACTCGCTGTCAGGCACTAGAATCTGCCTTAACTTCTCATCGCCCCGAAACAATGTCCGTGTGGAGGGATTAGGAAGATGACAATTTAGTGTTAATACAGTGTGTGAGACCATCTGCTAGATTTAGAGAAGGGTAAAGACACGCAGTATTGCTGGTAATATGTTTCCTTCCACTGAATTTTATTTACTTTCTTTATCCGTTTGACTAGTGCTGTAGCTCTGCTTGTGGGAGAGAAGCTGCAAGAGGAAGCAACTCTCGTGGTAAGTGCTAGACACTTTCATCGCCTCCGTGCTGAGATGCCGTGATGGGAAAACATCAGTGTGGTCCAGCTGATCACTGCCAGTCTGGCCTGGGGTAGGACTGATGTCACAGCTCCATCTGTAAATGTTCTCCCTGTTTTTATCCAGATTTCGAAGACTAGCATTAAACTAGGGGGAAGCTTCACGGTTTCTCATTATTTCTTATTTCACAGGATGACCCATTTAAGATAAAATCTGGGGGAATGGTGGACATGAAGAAGCTGAAGGAGAGAGGCAAGGACAGGTGGGTGCCGATGAGCTCTGAGGATTTCTCCCCGGACTCGTATTAAGTGACGGCTAGTCATGACGTAACCAGATGTTGTGTTGCTTTGAAGAGTTTCACATAATGCAGTTTGGCCAGTTGCTGTTACCCTAACTTGTCCAATTAGTTTAAGAGAATAAAACATGAAACAAAAAAACCCCAGAAAAACAAAACAAACGAAAAAACCTCCCCCCATACGAAAACAAACAAACAAAAACCAACGAAAAAACTGTAAATATTGTGGTTTCCATTTAGGATTAATGAAGAGGAAGATCTAAACTTGGGAACTTCCTTTTCAGCTGAAACCAACAGGCGGGATGAAGATGCTGACATGTAAGTTGTGCTGCGCTGTGTCTAGGAGGTTGAATTCGGGGTTGGGTGTCCCCTCACAATTTACTTTTGTCTTGGATTCTGCATAGTCCCAGAACATCTTCCCAGTTCTCACTTGCTCTTTCACCTTCGGGCTGCCAGGCTCGAGAAGGCTTTTTCACGGACAAAGATGAGAGGTGCCAACCAGCTAGCTTGGCGTTAAATGCCAGTGGGAGCCTTCCCTGCTGGTTGTGAGGGAGCTTGGAGGATCCGATCATTTCTTGGACAACTGCTTCTTGCAATTGATGTTGTTTTGGAGAGATGATTCATTCCTCTCTCCTACCTGTCGGGGCAGTGATGCAGCTGTGGCCAGAGCACAGAAAACAGAATTAAATAGCGTGTCTCTCGTGTGCTGCTGTTTAGGATGAAGTACATTGAGACTGAGCTGAAGAAGAGAAAGGGAATTGTGGAGAACGAGGAGCAGAAGGTGAAGCTTAAGAATGCCGA